TATATGACTAATTTAGTACGGTATATTAATATTTAATATAAATATATATATATATATATATATATATATATATATATATATATATATATATACTAGAACTATATAATTTGTGGGCCCCTAATCCTGGTGGGCCCTGGGCAGCAGCCCAGGCTGCCCCTATGCCAGGACCGGCCCTGCACGATCTATGACTTGATAGCCCCTTAAATACCCAACTCATTAAGCAGCAAGGGCTGTAAGGCTATGTTCGACACTCGTAGCTAGAGTTGGGAGAAAAATGTTAGACTTAAGATTATTGTATGAATGAGATACGATTGTTTAGAACTAGATGAAATTACTTTAAAAAGTTTATAATAATCTATATATCTTCTCTATATCTATGTTGTAAAAACCGGACCGGAGAGTGACCCGGTCACATGACTGGGTCACGGGTCAACCCGGACCCGGTGGGTCAACCCGGTCAACGCCGGAAAACCGGTCATTGATTATACGTCTATATAATAATAGTAAACATATAATTATATATATATATAATTATAATAAAAATTAGTTATTATTCATAATAATCAACTAACAATACTACTTATTAAGCATTTAATACACTCTCATAATATTTCAATGTATATTTTGATCTTATAAAAATATATAATGATATTTTTATTTTTATTGTACATCTATATTATAATTTGGCATGATGTTCATTCTTAAATAAATATATAAATATATTACGTAGTTTTTCTTTTTAAGGTATTGAAATTGCAATTTTATTGGTATAAAACATGCATCAAAAATAAAAAATAAATTACTTTTTTTTGGTAAAAACACCCAAAAACTGGGTTTTACCGGGTTTTTCGGGTTTCTTGGGTCCGGGTCTTGACCGGGTTTTCCCGGGTCAGCCGAGTTTTTCCGGTTTTTGACCATTTCCGGGTTTTGAAAAAACCGAACCGGTTTTTTGTCCGGGTCACCGGGTTCCGGGTCAACCCGGCCGGGTCGGGTCGGGTCGGTTTTTTAAACATAGCTCTATATAGGAAAACAATAGTCTAATTGAAATACCATTTTGCCTATGAATAGTGCTACGTGTAGATTTCTCTATGTTTCACTCCAATGCTCTATTTATGTCATGTGGCTTCATATGTTGTACAATAATCACAAAGAGTGCGGCGTCATAAAAAGAGAAAAAGTAGGGATTGATAGGAGGCATACACAGAGAATTAAAAGAAGGTAGAAATATATTTCTCTTGGCCAATTCCTTTCTTATAAGGACTATATAAATCGTAGTCTAGTAACATTCATATATTTTCACTTTTTTTTTCGTCCGTTGTGTTCATATCTTTCCATTTCTAAATCTTTCTATCATACTCTCAATAATTTTGAAAATAATGCACTTCACAACTATTTTTTGGATTTATCCTCCGTTCCAACATACTATTTCATTATCTTCTCATCATATTCTCACTAATTTATATTTTTATTTACTGTTTTTACGTATTATGGAAGGAGGTAGTATAGAATAGTACTCGTATTATTTATATTATTATTAATTCATCAAGCAAAAACGCAATTTTCCACTTTGAATGCAGTGTCGGCCTAGATTTTGGAATCACTCTTAAAATAATGGTCAATCAATCACCTAATAATCGGGCCAAAATACATACGTACACGCGACTATAGTTTTATCCACTTTTTTATGAGTCCTAGACCATTGATCACATGAGTTGGGTACTTGGGGAGTGTCCACACATAAGTCGGTTTAGACCCATAATTTCAATTACATAAATTGATAGAAAATGAGCAAATATAAGATGTTTTTATTTGGACTGTAATTCGTCACAGACTCGACTAGATCAGATTAGATCAGTTCAGACAAGACTTAGATAGTTATAAAAATAAAAAGATACCGGACATTACCAGACCAGACCAGTTTAGATCAAACCAGACTAGTAAATTAATGTCCAAGTAAAAACATCCGCTCTTAAATTATACACGCGGTGCAGATATGTCATTACAATTTTACAAAAGTGCAATAATACATCTAATGTTCCTACACTTGAGGTGTATGTGGAAACCTACTCATATTCTTGAATGATATTCCATCCGTTCTCTAATACTTGTCACCCTTTCCATTTTGGGTTGTTATGTACGATAGTATTATTTGTCCCCCTTTCCATTTTTGTAATTTTTTTAAATAAATATACTCATTTATCCTCATTCTCTTTCCCACTTTTCACCCTTTCATACTTTTTCATTTAAACACAATCCACTACACTTTTTACACCACCCCTATTATTTTCCTCTTAAAACTTGTGTCAAACCCTATACAGACAACTAATGGAGAACGGGGGAGTATATTTGATTCATTTTATAATGCCTTCTTTGTAGAGTATGATTGACAAGGAAAGTTTTACGCAGATTAATTCTCTAAATAGAACTTTTATTTAAACACTGTAGTTTGTTGGTTTGGTCTGATCTGAACTGGTCCGATCTAAACCGGCCTGGTTTGGTCTGATAATGTCTGATATCTTTGTATTTTTATAACTATGTAAGTCTGATTTAAACTGGTCTGATCTGGTTTGTGACGAATTACCATCCAAATAAAAACATCCTATATTTGCACGTTTTCTATTGAAAAATGCACAGATAGAACTTTTATATTTTGTGAGACAAAAAATGCACTAAAAGTTGTTTTCTTTTACGAAATTCCAAACCTACTTCCTATTAAAAATAAAAATATACAAAAACTTTCCTAAGACTCCGGCTCTACCGCCACTCCCAATGCCATTGGTGCAGTCACTTCCGGCATCTCAAATCGCTACCAATTTGAACATCCAAAATGCAATCTTGCGACAAAAAAGTAATTTTGTTGACAACAGAATTTTGTTGAACATCCAAAATGCAATCTTTAATACTCCCTCTGTCCCGCAAAGAAGTTCCCGTTTTTCTTTTTAGCAGTCTAAAAAAGAAGTTCCCCTTTTTATAAATGACAAGTTATCTACTACGTACATCGAAACAGTGTCAAACAGTGCAAAACAGTGTCAAACAGTTCCAAACGTGTTGAAACAGTGTCAAACAGTTCCAAACGTGTTAAAACAATGTCAAAACAGTAAAATTTACCCCCTGAAAAATTTATTTTCTTAATATATGTGTAGGTCAAACCGGAAACTTCTTTGCGTAAAAGAGAGCAAAAGTAATTTCACATGATGTTCGTTCGTTACACTTGGCATTCAACAAAGGAATAAAATTATATGCTATACTCCATAATATATACTCCTAAATAGACAAATTAGACACATGCTCCCGGCCTCCATGAGTCCATGACAAAAAGATCTCATGTGAAGTAGCTAGGTGAGATTATAGTAATAAAAGATTAAAAGGTGATGTAAGTTATTGAGTGTATGATGAGAAAATAATCGAACAGTCAGATGAAATGAAAGATAAATTAAAAAAAAAATAGTTATAATAATGTACTACCTCCGTCCCACATGAGGGGGTGACACATTTATTCAAAAGAGTGAGTTTATGTGGTTGATATTGAATTGATAAAGTATGAATAAAGTAAAAATGATTTAGAACCACCCAAATTTTTCCAAATTTGGTATGGGAAACTCTTAATGAGATTTTCCGAATTGGTAAAATGGACAATCTTAGCATGACGAATGGAGTAATATTTTTAAAATTATTGAGAGTATGATGAGAAGATACGAGGAGATTATTTAGTTGCGAATGAAAAACAAAAGTGAGAATTGAATTCTTCCAATTTTTATTTTTGGACCGTCCCAAAAAATTCTTCCAACTTCCATTTTTGAAAAAAATTTGTGGTTCACATTCATTCACTTTTTTCTTACACAACTACAATCATGCATCTCCACTTTATGATTCACATTCATTCACTTTATTCTCACTTTCTAAATTTGCGAGTCAAGTTTGACAGAGCAGACAATATATTCCCACTTTATTCTTTGACAGAGCAGACAGTATATAGTTTTTTTTATTACGAGTTCTTGATATTCATATGAATCATATACTCAAGTAAACCTAAACATAATTTATAACTTATGAAACATTATTTATCCTATAACTTTCATATTTGAGTTTTCCTCTTCTTCCTCTTTCTCTTATAATTTAGTCGTCTTAAAAAACAATTATGAATGTTTATATTGGAGTTTCCTATTAGTTCTTGAATTTATGTTTACTCTAGTCCGTGCAACCGTGTTAGCGTTTGACTACTAATATAAGTCATTTACATTAAAAAATTTATACAAAGTACGTAGTATATATTAAAATGGTGACAACTCCAGTATCCTTTCAAAAATTAGTGTACCGTACCTACCATGCATTTGATTGGTCCAAATCATTCTATTCCTTTTAATTTAGATTTAATTAATTCAACTGCATTATTCTTATTGGTCTATGTGTACAAAAGTATGATACCTTAAGGGTACCGTAGAATCTACCAATTAAAATTAAAAAGTTGTGCATATAAATATGTTCAATTTAAAAAAGTGGGGGAAAATGGAAACTAATAATCCAACCTTTTAGCGGTCTTCTTATAATAGTCCCACCTTTTGATTATTCGTGAATAATCCAACCTTTGCACCTCATCTTCATTCACTGGTCCCTGACCGGTTGATGACCTACTATTCCAAGTTATTTTCTTATCTTTGCAAAATATTATCTTTGTGAAAGGTGAGATTTATGGTATAATGGTTTGCAAAGATAAGAAAATAACTTGGAATAGTAGGTCATCAATCGGTCAGGGACCAGTGAATGAAGATGAGGTGCAAATGTTGGATTATTTATGAATAATCAAAAGGTTGGACTATTGTAAGAAGACCGCTAAAAGGTTGGATTATTAGTTTCCATTTTGAGAATCGTTACTTCTCATTCCTCAATCATCCAATATAATGATAATATAATGATTGAGAATGAATCATCTCAATTTCTCAAACAATTTCTAAACGTTTAATTAGTTCTACAGGAACACCAAACCATCACAAAACTCCGTACCAGGAGCCACCTATAAATATGCTCAATTATACTCCATGGAATATAATCGGATTCACAACCGGATCAGAGTATTATACCGCGTATATCTGAACTCTCTTGCTTGCAAGCTGGCCGGTACAAAAGATGGAAAATAAAATGAGAATCAGACATGTGGTTCAGCTAGTTGCTCTGGCAGCCTTATTAGTCTCATTTGAATCAAGTGCGGCGGCGCCGGCGGAGAATGACGGTGGTGGTCTCATCGGAGCCACTTGCAAAAACACGCCAAACTATACACTCTGCTTCGATACCCTGTCCTCCGACCCTAAAGCGTCCAAAGGGGACCTCACTACCCTGGCGCTAATCATGGTGGATGCCGTCAAATCCAAGGCCAACCAGACAGCCGCCGTGATCTCCGGCCTCCGACCCGGGGGTAGTAAGCCGGCGGCGGCGCTGAAGGAGTGCGCTTTTCAGTACAAGGTCATTCTCACCGTCAGCGTGCCGGAAGCAGTCGAAGCTTTAACCAAAGGGGATCCGAAGTTTGCCGAGGACGGCGTGGTAGGCTCGGCTAGCTGTGCCGCCGCGTGCGAGACGGCTTTCACGACTGCCGGAAAATCGCCGCTCACCGATCTTAACAAGGCTGTGCAGGACCTATCCGACGTCGCTAGAGCAATCATTAGAAATTTGTTGTGATTTTATTGCTCCCTCCTCCAATTTGATGATGATGTGATTACACTTTACGAGATTTGAACAACAATAAATTTAACCGAATGTGTTAAAAGTTTACATATTCAAATATTACGTTGAAAGTTTTGCAAAATTGCAAAATAAAAAATCATTTTTTTTGATAAAGTAAGAGATTAAGAGTACATAGTTTGTTTTGATCAAGTGAATAAGAAACATGATCATCAAATTAGGACAGAAGTAGTAGAAGAAAACTAGTGTGTGTACGTGAATATACGGTAAAATAAAATATGTGTGTAAAGTTTGTTTTTAAATGTAGGACAATGAATTGTATGTGAATTCATCACTCAGTGTTTAAAAAAACAATTCGACAATGAATAGAGCTGTCAAATGAATCAAAGCCCACAAGGCTAGCCCATTTCATTCATTTCATTATGAGTTAGAGTTATCACTTTTTATCCTGATGAACTCATCAGTTTCGTGGGTCAACCTGCACTAGTTCCAGGTTAAGTGGATCGACACCGACGACACATGCAAGTTAAGAGTTATCCAAAATACAAGTATCTATTTTTGAGTTTCATTGTATTCAATATTGATTGTTTACTACCATAAAGATTTTCAAATATACTTATTATTTTACGACCTTTGCTGAACTATTATTTCTATAATAATTATTCAAATAAGTTACTCCAACATATTTTTATGTTATGGTTCTAAATAATTTTTTAATAATCGATAATCATTATTCACAAATATTGTCTCAAAAGATCTATTTGTATTTTTATTTGGGAAAATAGAAACTAATAATCCAACCTTTTAGCGGTCTTCTTACAATAGTCCCACCTTTTGATTATTCATGAATAATCCAACCTTTACACCTCATCTTCATTCACTGGTCCCCGACCGGTTCATGACCTGCTGTTCCAAGTTATTTTCTTATGATTGCAAACCATTATACCATAAATCTCACCTTTCACAATGATAATATTTTGCAAAGATAAGAAAATAACTTGGAATAACAGGTCATGAACCGGTCAGGGACCAGTGAATGAAGATGAGGTGAAAAGGTTGGATTATTCATGAATAATCAAAAGGTGGGACTATTGTAAGAAGACCGCTAAAAGGTTGGATTATTAGTTTCCATTTTCCCTTTTTATTTTTGTACAATGAGTACTTTTGCTAGATACCATTTAATAGTTATCAAATTTTAATATAACAATGATTTGATAATATTTTTAATTAAACTTATCAAGTATTTTTTAATTAAAACAACATAAACAATAGAGGAGACTATATATATGGTGGAGATCCAAATATAAATCCATTTGGAGCCAAAAGAAGTGAAAACACGTTGTCGTTATTAATGAAGCATTATTTAATAACTCACTAATTAATAACAATCAATGATTAGCCATAAATCCAGTTAATAGTTGTAAATTTTAAATAAGACATTAGACGAATAAGCATAAAGAAATTAAATGTAAATAAAATTATTAGAAAAACATTAAAAACCTACACACATAATTAATTAAGAGACGTGATATAATAAAGTTAAAAAACGAAAAATGCTCTATTTTAGAATATAAAATAGAGTATTACAATACTCGTATAATCAAGTGTGATGAATTGGCTACAAATATTATACAAAGGACAATGATAGTAAATAATACTCGCCCATAAAACTTGACCAAGATTATTTTGCATGTGTAATAATATAGTAAAAATCATGTGATTGGGATTTTGTGGAGATGTGATGAGAGAAAAGTAATTTAACTACACATTTATTAAAGTGGTTTGGTGGGGATTTGGCCGTCTAGGGTTTTTCCGGCAACGATCATTGTGAATCGTTTTTTCCGGAAAGTGAATTCGGAACAATTTTGCAGTATTGCATAGCATAAATAGGGCGAGTTTGGCCGTGCAGCGATTCTGCCACTGGCGGAAGAACTGGGCTCGAGTTTGACAACAATTTAATAGCTCGATTTGAGTCCCAGAAATGTGTCACTAGCGGTATGAGTATTGTGAGCTAGAACTGTCGTGGGCTAGGGTATTTGGCATTTGTGCAGGTTCTGGCAGATATGGTTCAAGATAAAAAAAAAGGAGGTTATTTTCCTTATGGAAACTAAGGCGTAAGAACATAGATGTGAGAATGTGAGAGATGTCTTAGGGTTCCAGCACTTATTTGTTATCAGAAATTCGGGACTAAGCGGTGGACTTTGCCTTCTTTGGCATGACAGTGTTTAGCTTTAGGTAAATGAAAGTTCAAACGATTATATCGATTGCCTAATCAAGCAGGATGATATCGGAACAAAGTGGCGTTTTATGTGGTTTTATGGCTTTCTAGAAAGGAGTCAACTTCGGGATTCCTGGAACCTTATTCAAAATCTTTCTAGGCAGTTGAATAAGCCTTGGTTAGTATTAATGGATTTTTAATGACATTATGTTTGCAAGTGAGAGAAGAGTCTGGCTACCGCAATCAGGATTGCTCGTGATAGGATTCCGGGATACCCGATTCATGTAAGGGTCAAGACAGAAGTAGGCAGATTGAGAAAGGGAATAGCCGATAAAAGCACAGGGTAAGGAGCGAACATTTATTTTAGACGTGGAGTATGGACAGAACCACGGATAACACAAGCACCTAAATGGTTGTAACTTATGATAATTGGGTTGACGTTTGTAGAGTTGGGAATAAGGTGTAGAGTACTTAATGGCGGAGTTAGGAAGACGATTAATAAGGTATAATGCTGTTTGAAACGCATAGGGCCAGTACAAGTGAGGAAGACCGGAATAATGGAGTGGCGTAAGACCGGTATCTACAATATGCCTGTGCCGACGTTCAGCAATACCATTATGCTCAGGGGTGTGGGGTGGTGTGGTAAAGTGAGATATACCATGGTGATTGAGATATGACCGTAATTTAATGTATTCACCCCCATTATCTGAGAATAGTGATTTAATTGGGTAGTGAAAATAGTTTTCAACCAAACGATGAAACTGGGGAAATATTATAGACAAATCACTTTTATGTTTTATTAGATATAGCCAAATATACCGAGTGAAGTAGTCTATAAAACTGACATAATACCTATAGCCATCGATGGAAGAAGTAGATGTGCTCCATACATCACTATATATTAATTCAAGTGGATAATTGGCTTGTATGGTATTAATTGAAAATGGCAACTTTGTGCTTTTATTAACATAGCAAGACGAACAATGAGACTCATTCAAGTGAATGTTACATGGAATAACATTTTTATTATGACGAACTAACAAATTAAAATTACGACGACTTGGATGACCAAACGTATGATGCCAGTGAGATGGAAAAGAGACCCTGGACAAATGAACTTGTGGAGATTGTGGTGACCGGACGTAGTAGACATCATGTACGTTCTCCCCTCGCATGAGCACAACCCCCGTGGCCCGATCCTTGACAAGAAAATGGGTAGAAAAAAATTCAACAGAAACAGAGTTAGTTTTGCTGAGTTTAGCAAAAGAGACTAAATTTTTATTAAGGCGGGGGAACACACAAAACATTGGAAAGGGATAAGGGTCGAGATGTAGTGGCTAGGCTAGTGGAACCAGTGTGAGTAATAGACAAAGAATTACCGTCACCAAGATGAACCTCTTTGGGACCTCCATAATCAGCGTACGTCGTAAGATTGGCATTATCTGAGGTGACATGATGGGAGGCCCCACTATAAAAAAGCCATCGTTGACCACCTGTCATTGGATTGACCAATGTGGTATTAGCCACTGGTGAGACAGAACATGATGGAGCAATAATCTGGTGCTCACGTAAAAACTTTTGTAACTTTCTACAATGTTTGACTTCATGCCCGGAAAAATTGCAGAACCGGCAGACTACCCCATTGGATGAAGAGGATCGAGACTGTCCCTAGAAATTACCTCCACGTCCACGGCGACCTTGAGGACCCCTGCGATCTATGGACTGGTTGTGGCGGCGATCGGTATGTGTGGACGAGTCAAATGGGCGCCCAATAGCCTGAGTGAAGTGGGCAGTAGGTACAAGGTTCTGCACCGATGTAGCTGCCTCCTGAAGCTTCTGCTCATGCTCCAACAATATATCTTGAAGTTCAGTGCGTGGAAGTGACGTCTCGCGGACTCGAATGGCTGACCTCAGTTCACCATAATCGGACCCGAGACCGTTGAGAATGTTGATTACCAGATCTTCCTCGGAAATAGGACTTTGAGCAAGAGCCAATGCCTCGGAGATGGCAAACATCTCTGCAACGTATCACTGCTAGAAAAAAGTCTATTTGCTGCGGTTATTTTCACATATTTGCTGCAGTTCCTAACCGCAGCAATTGAAGGAGCAGCAATATGTGGTTTTACTTATTTGCTGCGGTTGTGAACCGCAGCAAATACTAATTAATATTTTTTTTAAAAAAACTTTTTGCTGCGGTTAGGCCACGACCGCAGCAAATACTACTATGAAGCTTAACATGCTACGGTGCTCTTTTTGACATGCTACAGTGTTCTTTTTTTAACTGTTTTCTGTTTTTTTTTTTACATTTCAAATAGATACTTAAACATATTTACACAATAACATGACTTGTTTATAAAGACGAAGGTCTTTTCAATATATTTCATGACTCACCAACAATATATCTTTATCATATATCACAAAAAATATTATATACATCCAATACAACAACAAAATTAAACTTAGAATACAGATCAGAATTTTATAGTATCAGCCGACAATCTCCATTGCAAAATACATGACGCTGGTAGCAAAAACAAAGGGGAAGAATCTATATTTTAATGAAACATGATCCTGCTCCTCCAGCTCCTCTTTGTTCCAAGAATCCTTCAAGAATTGAACTTTTTGTTTCTAGAAATAAAAATGTTAGGTTAAATAAACGAAATACTTAAAAATTAAAGACAAACCTGAAATCATTTTGAATCAGTACCTGTATAACAAGTTGCAACTACAATTGCAAGGAAAGCTACGAATAAACTCTGCCAAAAAGAATATCCAAGTTAGAAAGAGAAGAAGCAAGTAGCAATAGATTATGTATGATGCATAGCTCTACCAGGACTTTATAAATCTACTAGGAGTTTCAGCCAACATAAAATTTCATAATATTTAAAGTAAGCAAGGAAAACAATTTAGAGCTAGTACGATATTTTAAAGTTCAGCAAGTACTATCTTAACAATTATTTGTTTCGACTACAAAATTTATAATAATTTGGATAAATGTTAGCAAATCACCAAAACATACTCCTGGTATATAACATCTTGTTTTGCACTACCCTCCATATAATCTAAAGTTTTGAACTTGTGCCTACGGTTATCCATATTATCCTCCCAAATGTCAGTCAACACACTGAGAGATGACCTGCATCGCCTATTAATACATTTCAGATATGTTTCTGAGAGCAAAATAAGTTAGTGAGCTTCTCTTAATATATCACTATCACTCAATTTTGGACACTCAAGTAATTAATAAAAAGGTTATATCAGTCTTAGAAAAGTATTTATTCAAAATTTTACCTTAATACCTTAATAAAAGAAAAGTTTGATGTACATATGAAGAAAGTGAATTACAATGAGTTTCTGGTGCATGCTATGTCTGACCATAAACTTTACTTAAATCATAAACTTCAATTAAT